GAGAAAAAGTGAAGAAAGGTGGAAAAATGGAAATGAAGTGGGAGGGTAAGGCTGTGTTCAGACTGAGTTTCAGAGGTGTGAAAAAACACAACCCTCTTCATTCATCTCTATGGGGGATTGCGTTCACCGCAGCCAGCACCATTAGAGCAGGGGGCTCTGACAAAACGACGCAACCCTGTGCGGCCAAAAATTTGGATCTGGTTCAACTTTCACTGCACCGGATGGTGACGTCATCTGGCAAAGGCACTGCTTTGACCAATCATGTACAGGGCATGATCAGGGACATGTAGGAGAAAATACAGATCGGGGCTACTGAGAGAAAATGAAAATGGAAAGTCAAGATGTAGACAAGAAGAGAGAAAGTTTAGGATATGGAGGCGAGACAAAAAGGAGCCACAGATGGAGCAAACAGGAAGCCAGTTTTCTGCACACAGGACAGGTAGATCAGATGTCCCTGGGAGTGGATGAGTAAAGCAGACACGTCTGTCAGCTCGTAAATTGTTCCAAATTAGTAGAGCTTTAATTTAGCATATGCCCGCTTAAACTGCAAAAGAAAAGATGGGGAGGTGGAGAGCAGGGGTACGATGATTTATTTTTTCCTCGTCCCGCTAGTCCACATGATTCTCTCCACCAACTGTAAGCAAGCCTGAGGCCTTGCGCCTCTAAACAGAGTCCTGTCTGAATATTCATTGGCTTAATTTGCATTGCACACAGATGGTTTAAAACAGATGCTCGTTACAGCAAGTGTCAATTTTCAAAAATTTGCTTTCATGACAAAACAAATAAAGCTATACAGGAGGATGGAGCGGCTCAAAGCCTTCTGGAAGAGTTGCCAGAAGTGTGCTTGTGTGTGTGCAAGACAGTTGTCAGAGGAGAAACTTTGATTGGTTTGAGTGCATGTGTAATACATTGTTCACATCTATGTGTGCAGATCTATATCTATATTGCTTATCCTGTAGAGGGTCAGCTGATATTAGGCGAGAGGTGGGGTACACCTGGACAGGTCCCCAGTCTATCACAGGGCTGACACAGAGACAGATGACCACCATACTCACACCACCAGCCAACCTAACTTGCAGTGTCTCCGGACTGTGGGTGGAAGCCACTGACTGTACATACAATGAACAGCTGACAGGTCCCAGAAGTGAAGCCACTGTGAGTTGATCGCCCCCTGGTGGCTGGTTACATGTTAGTGGATGGAACATGAGTCAAACTAAACTAAAAACTCAAAGTAGAGTAGTAAATTAAAAGTAAAGTGATTAAATTTTTCCCAGAGGTGATTTCTGTCATATTTTCTGGTGAAGTTGTTTTTAATAAGTTATTTTATTACATAAAAATGGCTGTATCTTAGTTGATTTGACAGCTTTGATTGGTGTTCGATGCTGTCGCTCCACCTCTGGCCACTCCTATACAGAATCTGGCTGCAAAAACCAGCATGGCAGCCGCAGTATTCACGATATTTTGGCTTCACTTTTGCATCATTTAAGTAACAACATCTGTCATGCTTGTATATTGTACACAGTTAATAGGGGAAACCAGACTACCCAGAAAATACCCATGCATGCACTTGGTTAACATGCAAACGCCATACAGAAAGGCCCTGGTCAGCCACCAGGTTAGAACCCAGAGTGTTCTCGCTGGGAGTTGAGAGTGCTGCCCTCTTTGTTGGCAGTTTTTTTTTTTTTGTTACCTTGCATTGCAAGTGTCGTCCCTGCTATGTGTTTGGTCAGATCTTTTTCAAAGCAAGTGTGTTTTTGTGAGATCATTATTATTATTAGTTTTATGTTACACAGTAGGTGTTTATGCTGTTTCTCTGAGAAAACAGCATAGAAATGTCTCACT